CGAAATTCACTTTGACTTGTAGCTTTCGAAAGGTGATTCGGGCGCTCGCATTTAGTGGTCGTGAAAAATTCGACAATTCATTTTCTTTCAAAATTCGTGTTATAGTTTGATAGCCAGCCCCATAAGCTTTAATTTGATATAGGGGTTTAGGTATCTGCAGCTTAAACTGCACGCGCTACATCGCTTGCGCGCGAGACACCCCTGAGGGTATACTTTAACGTTAAGGGCCCGAATTTTACAGTTTGTTCAAGGAAGAACTTGTTAATTCCACCCTGTGCTATCAGTGCATATTTTTTCTGCATATTGATCTGTCTTTCTTCGTGGATTAAATAATTCATTACATCAAATAGCTCTTTTAATTTAGACTGTACGTCTCGCACATGAAAAAAAAAAAAAAAAAAAACTTAAAATGATAAAAATGAAAAAAAATATATTAAAAAAATGCTTGAGATTTAAGAAAACCAAACATTGCAGTTTTTTGTAGCCCTCTTTAGCTTATCTTTTATATATTTAATTATCCTTAGAATTATTATTGCATTTGGGTTATCTATCAATAATTAATAAATAATTAATATAAAGAGAGGATGAAGAGTAATAGAGTTAATTCGCTGTAAAGGCCTTATTCTAGAAGTAATACCTTTAAGTTATTTTTAGATATGGTAACCGGCAGATGATGTTACCTCAGCGACAGCGTTGCGCAGATATTTGATGTTTTTATGTAGATGTTTTCGTGGCGAACGAAAATACGTGTGAAAGCTTTTTGGGCTGTCCAGATGAGTGGAACTTGCAACGCAGGATTGGCTATTTCGAGACCACCTGGAATTCCTGAACACTGGAATGATCTAAAAATATGTTTAGAGGGATAAACTTCGGTTAGGAATAAGACCTATATAGAGATTCGTTCTCTTACTCTTCATCTTCTTTTGTTGACACTCGTTAAACGTCTGAAAATCCTTTTAGTTACATTATACTTCAGTCCACAGAGGATACCGCTTCCGGGTTTAACGACATCGGTTTGATGACTGTGTTTTGGCGACTTGACAGTTTTAAGGTAAATGTTACTGCTATCACAGAAAATTTTAATACATTTTCGACAGATTCCAAAGGGGTGCATGCAAAATATATTCTTCTCATTTTGAACTTTCATCAAATATACTAGTGGCTTATAGGAAGTTAAGGTGGTGATGTTAGAAACAATTAATAAAAACCTGGAATCAAAGGATATGATTCCATTTTGTCAATAGTGATACGTAAAATAAAATTTGAAATAATAATAAAAAAAGCTTCATTATATCAGGTAGCTAGAGATCTAAATACAGAAATATATGTTTGAGAAACATTACGCGACTGGGTCAGTTTCACACCAATTCGAAGAGACCACAGTAAACCGGAAAAGTGAGACATGCAGCCAAAATACGGGCTAATCCGAAATGTTTTCTAAAAATGTAGTCTCGTTTTTATGCGTCGTCAAGCAAAGCGTGACTCGCAAACTGTTCCTTCTTTTTCTAGGGTTTTATGCAATAATCCGAGTGTCTGCATATTGTTTTACACCCTGCAGCATGCCCACAGAATTGCTTGCACCTGTCTGGTTTATGCAGTAATTTAAATCAAGGGTATAGCTTTACCAAGTACATCGTTCAAGATTAAGCAGGATAGACTTTCGCTCTGTTCAAAGAGCCAGTGTTCGTGAAACCGAAGGTACAACAGCTGGCCTAACAACTTTGTTCGGTCTGGTTATAGGAACAGAAAGGATAAAACGTCGTCGAAACTTGCGATGAAAAATCGCATAGAGTAATGGATTAAGGAAAAACGAAATCTTGGCGAGCACACTACATGCACTGGTAGCCAGAGGGCTAACCTTGCGTCCTAAAACTAAAAGAAGGGACACTGCAGCATAAGGTGACCAAGGGATCAGAAAACCGGCTATGATAGCTAAGAAATAAACAGCAGATTTCTGGTGCTTCCTGAGAAGGGCCTGTGTTGCAGTCATGGCTAAGCCGCCACTATGGGAAGTGTTGAAAACAATCTGTTTGGAAACCTGATGGATCTTGTAGTAGCAAAAGGTGATCACGGCCAGAGGCAAAAAGTAGCAAGTGAAAATGACAACTCCAAAGTATGCCTGATCGCTTGGAAGAGATGAATCCCATCTCACTGAGCACGTAACATTTGCTCCTTCCAGGCCATATCTCGACCAGCCTACCAATGGTGCCATGCTGAACGTCAGTGAGTAGATCCAAGAGCTCAAGATAATCAAAATCACTTTTTTCTTGTTGAAATAAGAATCCCTGGAAAGAGATCTTGTTATGGTCAAGTACTTCCCCGCTGAAATGGCAACTAAGTGGGTGATCGAGACAAGAGCGAGAAGAAATATCATGAACGCATGAGCCTGACATCCAGCGAAACCAAACGGCCATTCGTTTTGGAAATGTCTTGCAATGGACAATGGAACAGGTATCGCACAAGAAAGAAAATCACTCACCGCGATACTGAGGATAAGATAGGTCGGTGCTGAGATGCGTCGATGAACATTTCTACAAATCGTGAAAATCACAACTCCGTTAAACGTTATTCCTAAGAAGCACACCACCAACTCAATTACTACGAAGATGGTGCTCCACTTCTCAGTGACAACCATGTTTGGAGACTTTTAATATGAGTTTTGAGGTGCAGCAGAGTTTTTGTTGAAATTCGGATAGCCCTGTTTGTCCTTCAATTTAGTTCAAGAAATTTTAAAATACTCAAATACTCAGTTTCTTTTCCAATTTCTTTTGTTTGCAGTTTTGACGACGGGTTCCGGTACTAACGGAAAAGTTTAGGCTACGCTCTGACATTTTAGCAGCTGATTGGTAATTAATGGGACCCACTCCTCGGCTTTCACCAATAAAGTGCAATCCGTAATGCCTGTTTGATTAACAAACATAAACATAACTACGGGTATTTGTCAGTGGAGGTTACATAGAAGGACAGCGGGAAAGGTTCAAGGAATGCCTTACGGTGATCTCCATCAGGTGAGAGATGCGACGTTTAGACTGGAGTTAGAAATGAAAACACTTGCTTCGTAATTAATCAAACCGTTTCCTCCACTTTCACCGGTAAAGGGATTGCAATAGCCGTTACAAATGTAATCCAAAAACGTCCCTTTGATCACAAAAAAGATGAATAAAAAGCGTGGATTTTTGGTAGTGAACAGTTTATATTTCAAGGAGAATGGGCGACGTTCGGATGCGACTGAGAACATATAGGATAGATCTTCATCCTTAAGACTGGAATAAGAGGGGTGTAAAATTGCAGATATTTATGTGGCTGGGGCGAGGTCCTGTGGCTTGAATGTCCGTCTGTACTGTACTGTTCCAGGCAAGCATTTTTAAATATGTCTGAAGCCAAATGAAAGTTATGGTGTTAGCTATCGCTCAAAGATGTCGACAAAATGCCTCACCTGATTTCATAGCCACGCTGCAAGACTTAAAACTACTAAAAAAGAAAATAAAAGCTAAAAAAATCCCGTGTAGTTTTTGGGATTCTTGGTTAGTCTCAGTTATACTAAAGGTGAGAATTTAAAATTTGAAGTCTGAAAACTGGGGAGATAATCGCTCGAGAAAAGCCTGATGTACACCGCTTTAAAATGGCCAGAGTAACTCACATTGCGTGACTCATTTGGGCTACCGAACCACGCACCAGAGAGGGTATTTTGATGGATTGTAATTTAATTTCTTTCAGTAAAGCGGCGAGCTTTGGTTCCATTTTTCTGAACTGTCAAACGAACGTTAAATGTTCTTTATGAGAGAAGGTGTTCTTTATTGCGATTAAATGAGTACAAAACGGCTTCCTTTCAGATGTCCTCTGGCTAGGATAGAATGAGAAACCCTGATGGTTAGGTAGTTTTAAATAAAAATGGTTAGTGTTTAATTTGTTTAAAATTTATTTGAGAATTGATGTTTGGCAGGTTTATGATAATTGTCTAGCACTGGGAAAAGATGCTGTGTACGGATTACGAGAAGAGACCTTCGAGCTTAACGTTTGATGCAAATACTTAAAAAGTTTACTTATTGGAAATTTTCGACCACTGCTGGTCTAACTCATTTAAAACAGTTAACAGACGCAATTAAATACTTAAAGAAAAACATGAACTACTTATTAAGCGAAAGTGAGGTGTTTACGGGAAAATTTCAAACCAAGACCTCGCCGTATTAACCGAGCAATAGCGAGGTCAGTATGGCAAGCCCAAGGTTTGAGATTTTCTCGTAAGGACCGAACGTTCGAGGTTGATAAGTAGTTTATTACATGGCTTATTAAAAGATGTTTGGCTGTTTCCTTCGTCCCGCCCGGCACCAACTCGATCATAGTTTAACACTGCGAATTCGCTGTTCTTCTGAAATTGTAGTTCGTCAGGGTAATGTTCCTCGTCACTCATCGTCAGTTTTCAGCCCCTACAATTTTCGAAAAAAAAAACAATGTTTTTTGAAAACACCTGCTTTATTTTTGCAGGCCCGTAAACGGCCCGTGATTAAGGGATAATAACACCCTTGAACTAGCCAATCGGAGCGCGCGTTGTCTCGCCTACAAACACAAGCCAGATAATAACAGGCACTAAGCATCACACCATTTATTGACTCCGTGGAACAAAATGAGAAAAAAAAAACAACCAAACAGGACATCACGAAAGCGCACAGCAATAGAAAATTTGTCTACCTGTAAGTGTGCTACTTCTATCACTTATGTTGTCATTCGTTGTATGTATCTCAGTAGAGTGACATTGTCTGAAAATATTGAATTACTACAGAAGGAGAATTGCTACGACACAGTGAAAACAAAAACGGAACAGAGAAAGATCGTTAAGAAGCCATTAGGCTATTACCCCACGTAAACTTCCTGATAACGTTTGAATTGACCCTTCAAAATTGTAAACCTCAATGTTATTTACTGAACAGTCTCCTTCCCAAATGGCGACATCCTGTGTACCGTCATCGTCAATATGGTTAACTAATAAAGGGGGTTCTTAGCCGTAAAGCCGGCCAAAAATTTAGCCGTTATAGGCGTAAAAATTGGAAAATTTTAACCGTTAGCCATAAAAAATGTTAACCCTCAAGATCTCTTGTTACGACTTTTTTTTGTGATCTTTTTTACCATAGTAGTCAGCTGTATTACTCTACAGTTCTTATAACCTCTTTTACATGCCGGAGTGGTCATTAGACCTTAAATATTTTCTACAGTAATCAAAATGTATTTTAAACTTTTTTCAACAATACAAATTTTGTTTTTTAAGTATTTACAATCAAATCATGAATGAAAGCAAAATGAATACAATTTAAAAAATCTACAATTGCTTTTAATTTCTAAGATTTCTGTTAACCTGAACGGAAATAAATTAACCGTTAGCAACACTCATTGAGACCCTCATAAATTTGATTGCGGCGACAATTTGTGATTCACCTTCCTGCACAATAAAATTAAATTAAGAAGCTTCGAAGAAAACAGGAATTAATTATGAGAGCTGTTCAGAGAGAACATCAGGAGCCACCGATGAACTCAATGTACACTGAAGACGCTTTTATTGAAGCAGAATAGTGGTGCTCATCGGAATAAGGCGGTTACGTAATAGCAGTGCTTCTTGTTATAGGGGCGTTTATTAGATTGGGGGCGCTGAACGGCAAAAACACATTCAAACGGAGAGCGCTTATTCAAATGGGAGGAGTAGGAGGTTCCTTTTAAACACACAATTTTAAACCATTAAAACAGCAAGCAAACTCGTCACGTGACGACTTATATAACTCCCTCAAGTCTCCCACGACAGATTACGTAACTTCCGTAGGAACCTCAGATGCACTCAAGGCATTTTAGTCCACCACTATGCAATATTGGCAACTAGCTATAGATAGCGACCAAATTTGAAATGGCGACGGAGGTTGTCAAACATTGTAAAACCATTACCAATCCTAAACAATCACTGGAATAATGGCGTTCTTGACGGATTTCGAGACTCCCACCATGATTCTTACTCATATAATAGGCGATAACAGGGAGTGTTGCGACTAACACTAGTAGCTGTTACATTTATCAACCATCTAACAGTGTTACCCCAGATTGCTTTCGTTTCTGTCTCTTCAATCGCAGAAGAAAAATATTCCGGTTATATATTTTATGATGAATTTCTTAATTCACATTGATTCTTAAAACGTTTATATTGATATTAAAATACCGCCCTACGCCTTGCTCGTACCTTAATATTCCCGCGTGCCTCTATGGCCGATAGATCTGTCTACACGTGAGGTTTTACTTCTTGGTGGGAGCGTACTTCTAGAGGCCGTTTAGTTTCTAAACAACAAACCTTTGAGAATATATATGACCGGCATTGCTTGCGAAGGTATTATGGTCATTTCTAGGTCTATGTGTTTGCAAACGAAGTTGAATAACCTGGTCTTGTGAAGTAGATTAGTTAGTTTGCCGATATTACAGTGGAAGTCTGTTTGTTCCCTGATATTTTCTTTTGGAAGTTTTCACTAACAATAGCTGGCCATTGTCTATTTTACGTGAATCGCTTTTATTTAACTTTGGACTGATTTCACCTGATGATGATATGCGAAGCGCATGTTTCAGAAGAGTGCGAGTAGAAGTATCAGAAACGCATGAGAGTTGTTTTATTTTTCTTTCGGCAAGTCAATTCGGAGCCTGTCTGATAACCCTGCTTGTATACAAGGCGCCATGTAGTCCAACATATACGTACGTGGAATTTTCTAATCAACCATAAAAGCATGTAAATGCCATTAATAGCTTTATGCTGGGAGAATTTCCAAGCTATTGCACTTGAGATTCACACAAAACACCTAAAAGGTTGTACTCATTTTATTTAATATCCAGCAGTGATCGGATTTCAACTAGTATTAAATGCAGCATCTGCTGTCAGTTTCAACTCTCTTGCGAGACTAAAAAATTAATCAGTTATAAACTGAACCTAGGATTCAGTTTCAGACTGATCATTGGATTATGGATGCACGCACAAGCACACACAGTTTGAAAGCGCAACCTTGCTAGCTCTGTTTTCATTTTTTATATCATGTTTAATGATAAACCAACGCACCCGTGTGCTTTATGTAGGAAAGGGTCTCGACAACACCGCTCAAAGTTAAGTTGAAAACAATGATGTGCGCTTTTTAAAGAGCTAATGTTCGTGAAGCTGAAGGTAAAACAGCTGGCCTAACAACCCTGTTCGGTCTGGCTAAAGGAACTGAGAGAATCAAGCGTCGTCGAAACTTGCGATGAAAAATTGCATAAAGCATTGGATTAAGAAAAAACGAAATCTTGGCGAACACACTACATGCACTGATAGCTACAGGGTTAACCTTTAGTCGTAGATTTATCAGGAAGCACACTGTAGCATAAGGAGTCCAGGGGAGCAGAAAAGCGGCTATGATGGCTAAAAAATAAAAAGCAGATTTGTGGTGCTTCCTCAGAAGAGCTTGTCTCGAAGTCATGGCTAAACTACTCCTGTGGGAAGTGTTGATAACGATCTTTTTGGCAACTTGATGGATCTTGTAATAGCAAAAGGTAATCACGGCCAGCGGTAAAAAATAGAAAGTAAAAATTATAACTCCAAAGTATGCCTGATCGCTTGGAAGAGAAGATTCCCACTTAACTGAACATGTTATATTTGTTCCCTCCAGCCCGTAGCTCGACCATCCTACCAATGGTGCCACACTGAAGGCGAGTGAGCAAATCCAAGAGCCCAAGATTATCAAAAGTACTTTCTCTTTGTTGAAATAAGAATCTCTGGAAAGAGATCTTGTGATAGTCAAGTACTTTCCCGCTGAAATGGTAACTAAATGAGTGATGGAGACGAGAGCAAGTAGAAATATCATGAACGCATGAGCCTGACATCCAGCCAAACCAAACGGCCATTCCTTTTGGAAATGTCTTGCAATGGACAATGGAACAGGTATCGCACAAGAAAGGAAATCACTCACCGCGATACTGAGGATAAGATAGGTCGGTGCTGAGATGCGACGATGGATGTTTTTACAAATTGTAAAAATTACAACTCCATTAAACGTTATTCCTAATAAGAACACAACCAACTCAATTGTTACAAAGATCGCGTTCCATTTTTCAATGGTATCCATTTCTTGAGTTCCCAGCCAGACCGTGCAGAGCTTAATGGAAGACAAAGTGGTCGTGGTACCTTAAATTGCCTAAGCTAAGGTGACGAAAGGTGACTTCAATATTTCCCGTCTCCAAAATTGTCTTGATTTCATTTTGTGCATTTAAGGTTCGCTCTCTTGTTTATGCGCGTGATCAGGAAGTTGTAAATTTACTTAAACCATCAACACCCGCGCCGGCGTGGAAGTCTTGCTTAATTTATCCAAAACGCCTAATGTATTGCTCAATTGCAACTACCTTCCTACGCTTGGCACGTTCCTCGTCAGTTTCCTCATATTCATACACGTGCTCGAAACAGAAAACAAGCTGTTTGCATGTGAGGTTTTGTTATGTGAGCTGTTTACACTGTGGCGAGACTATTTTTTTTTCTCTGTTGGTAAGCATTGGGCAATCTTTCCTCCCAATGCAATAGTGATGTAGTTTGTAGAGGAAACTCATGGGGGACTGATATTATGTGTCGATCCAGTTCAACAGTAAGATAATCATTCACTAAAAAAATTAAATCATCTTTTGTTAATGTTCAAGAAAATGCAATTATACTTTCTGATTTTATCTGAAACCTTTCGAGGACCAACACACGTGCTCGGAACAGAAAACAAGCTCTTTGCATGTGACGTCTTTTTTAAGGCTCGATTACCAGCCGCTGTTCGAGAAAGGAGCTCGTGCGACGAAACGGCGGACATGACTTTCTTTTTACTAGTAACAATTGAGCAATCCTTCCTCCCAATTTAATAGCGATGTCATTTTTAAAGAAAACACATGATGGAAATTTTGGGCCTATCCAGTTCAACAGTCAATTTATAATTTCACTAAAATTAAATCATATTTTGTTAATGTTCAAGAAAATCTAAAACCTATCAGGGAACCTTGCACCCGTAAGTCTATGTTTCCTCGGCAACCGTATTTTGACAGGTATATAAGTTCTCCTAATTTGGAATGTTCTTGTTTTTATGAACAAAGTTACTTTAATGCGATAGTTTTACCGTCGTAGGACTTTTCAGCAGTGTATATTGATGTTTGATTACGCATATTTTTGAAAGGCGGTTTTCTGACATTTCCGAAAACAAAGCAAAAATTTCAAGATGGGGGATCAAAGATGGGGCTTGTTTGTATATCATTACGTAATTTACCCAGGAGACATGTTTGGACAGGGTATATACCCTCTAAGTTTCATTATCATTACTTGAATAATCTTGATGAAGTTAGGGAAGGGAACAGATCTCCCCACTCCTACCATGTGGTGAAATTGAGATAAAATAAACGCAGAAGGGAAAAGAACACTTGCTCTACTGAGGCGGATTACTTGTCTTTTAGTGCTTGGGTAACATTTTTCAGTGCTTTTGATTACCTAACGGTGACGTAAGTCACCACTGATGGCGGACTTGGAGGTGCTATATCAAAAGTTGCCCAGTAGTAATTTATATCATGCTCTTGAGAAACAGTAATGGCAACCTTTGGAGAGCTAAACCTGGCGGTATTTTGTCAATTGAAATTTTTTCGTCATGTTTTTCAAGAACATTTTTCAATGTAATTGTGATTTTCATCACTATAGTAAAAGATCTAAGAACAGCCTTTCTAAAGTTGTAACTCATACAGCAGATGGAATTACTATTCCACTAGTAATTATGCTGCTGGGTGGAATGCACTTAATGGTTCACCGTTCTGGGAAGTTGTCTCAATTCTCATTTTAAATGTAATCTTTCCAAAGAGGTTTCGTAAGTAATTAGACGATTTTATGATTCTTATAGATTTTCTTTTTTATCCATTTACATACGGTGAAACCCCGCTCTACGGACACCCACTTAATACGGACACCTGCTTCTAACGGACAGTTTTCTTTGTCCCGACAACTAAAAAGCTCATATATTGTCTCTTAAATTAGCCTGCTTAATACGGACACCCGGATAATGCGGACACTTTATCATGTCCCTTTGGTGTCCGTATTAACGGGGTTCCACTGTACTTGTCTAATCGCAAAATTTTAGCTCCCTACTTTTTACTTTTTACGTCTTGAGATAACTCTTTAAGTGTAACTTCTGTAAACAACTAAGTGAATTTGGCATCTTCAACCGATAAGCATGTATAACGAGTCCTTTAGATGAGCTCTTGTGCACTCGGGGAGAAAACCTGTATATCTAAATACAGTGGAACCCCGTTAATACGGACACCAAAGGGACATGATAAAGTGTCCGCATTATCCGGGTGTCCGTATTAAGCAGGCTAATTTAAGAGAAAATATATGAGTTTTTTAGTTGTCGGGACAAAGAAAACTGTCCGTTAGAAGTAGGTGTCCGTATTAAGCGGGTGTCCGTAGAGCGGGGTTTCACTGTATGGTCAAATGATAAAAAAGTGAAATCAATATATCATCTCGTCTGTGTCAAGCTGTTTACCAGCTAACGAATCGGGTAAAGTAAGTAGAGTCTGCATCCGAGCCAAGTGGCCCATCAGGCCGGAATTTATCTCGGTTTTATGTAACACGAAGCGATTAGGAGTATTTCTACTCCCCCCTGGATAGGATCTAGTACCCCCAGCATTAAGTTGGCAGGTACCCATTTATACACCTGGGTCAGTGGAGAAGGCACTGTGAGGGTTACGTGTCTTGCTTAAGAACGCAACACAATGTCCCCGGCCATGACGCCAACCCGGACCGCTCGATCCGAAAACGGCGTCACTAATCCTGCAATAATCCTGTTTTTAAAGCAAAAAGCTATAGATTGAAGAAAAAAAAACAAAAAACAAAACAAAAAAAAAAACACACACACAAAATTGATTCTTTCCCTCTGCTTTACTAGTGTTCGAATTTTGTTCAAGCAACCAAACAGTTCGCTTTATCTTTAAAGTTTGCAAATGTTACTCCCATGAGAACACTGCAAAAAACTGTGTGTGATCCGTCAGTAAGACCTGCGTGCAAAGTATGTGGCAGCTATGGCTACATTAAATGACGAGGAGAAACATTCGCCATCAAAATCTCCGCAAGAGCTACTGAATAAATCCCCTTTTCAAAATTTGGAAAAAAGGAGAGTACGGTGGCATTCAGCCCCCTTGTACGCTGTCAAACTATCAGTGTTCTTAGTACAAGAATTATTATCCCTTCTTTATAAGTCAAATGAGAGAACTTGGTGACGTTGCATTTGCTTGACGATAAGTTTACTTATAACGCCTTCAGGCGAAATAGAAAACGACATCAGAGCACAGAAAAACCGTACCATTAATCAGCTGCAATCGTGAATCCTTCATTGCATTGCTTCATTGAAACGTTTTATCTTAAAATAAACTCGTTTAATTCAATTTACCAGAAAATTAGGAACTATTAAAAATCGTGTTTGGGTTAAAGTTGGATCTTTAACGTAGCTAACGCCATCCTGGTTACCAGTGTTAAATTGCGACATCTTTTCAAAACGAACTTTTTAAACAAAGATGATCGACGGATCCAACAAGAGAGAGAGGAAAAAAAAAAAGAAAAACAACGGCTCACAAACCATTTTTTTCTTTTTCAGTAAATAGTCTAGAGTGGCTGTTCTCTTGTCGACTATGAATTACTTTCCTAATTAGCTATTCAATCGTCGCAGAAACTCTCACTGTGGAAGGCATACGTTATTATTCCAAAATAACTGCCAATCCTAGAGGATCTGTATTATGATGGAAGTGAGCTTGTGGATATCGTCCCTTCGGGACAAAGATCTGTACTGGTCCAAGTATTTGTTGATCTAAAACATAACTATGAGTACCGACTATTAAACTTTGAAGACGATTCACTAGTTTGTCTCTAATCTCAAATATCTCAAATATTGTTGTTGAAAGATTTTCTTTTCATGCTGTTTCGCAACAGCAAGCATGGTGGGTACCGTGATCGGAGCCCTTGTGGGGACGGTGTCATAGTTGCAATCGTAGTCTGTGATCCATCTCCTGTAGACAAATAAAAATCGATGGGTTGTATCATCTCAAGCTCTCTATAGCAGTAGGGCCTCACCATCCCTACCGTACCGTCAAGGTGCCTCGTATAACTCAGCTCCAGGCATGCCAGAGAATCCTGTTCACGGAGCATATGCGCAAACTCCACAACGAGCAGGTTGAATGCCCAGGATGCAGGCTCCTCCTCCGTACTACGAAGCGTAAGGAATGAACGCCGGTCCTACTACTGTGGAATTATAGTCTTTTACTTTCGGACTGAAGTAACAGACTTGATTTTAAATGAATTCTCTAAGTCATGCCGGCATGTGCCAGTTTTAAATCCCACTTATCGTTTGAGAGGCTCTTTCCGCTATATGTACTTTTATAAGGTCGAGAAATTTGTCTAACGTGCAGTAAACGATCAAAGTGATTCAGAAAAGTCAGAAATCATTCTTAATTTAAAAGAGTCTTTTTTATTCCATTTCTGATTGGCTTACAATACCTTTTAGAGACCCGAATGCCTCGAATGTCCCATATGCCTCGAATGACTTCTACCTTAACCGGGAAGATAAAGCATGTTACTTAACCAGGTAGTATCCCGAAAGGTTGTGTATAGAGTTTAACAGTTCTCCTCGAACATGTGAATAAATTGATCAAAGTCCTGTTATTTTTATGTTTTCGTTTCTGTTCAGTATTTTAAAAGCTAATTATTCACCCTTTATTTCGGCATAATATGTATCAAATATAATGCTGATTTAGTTCTTTGTTTCTGTTTCTGACAATATTTTTCCTTTGATGATTTCTTGTTTTAAAAGAAGTCTTTGAACAGTATTCTCAAAAGGAAGTCATTTCAGCCATGCACCAAATGCTGAACTTGTAAATAACAACGTTCTCATAAAAATAATAAGCCAAAAATTTTTAACGAAATGCGAATTCATGGCAAGCTCGCTTGCACACAGGTAAAATACTCGTGGATTTTGTCGACATATGTCAATGAAGTGCCGGATGCGAGGGCCCAGAACATCGATTTTTCATCGGCTAACAAGCTCAAAGAAAAGCTCAACCAGAAAATTGAGGATCTACAACAGCCGCAAGCGTCGAACCATGCCGCAGCTTCTAGTTCTGGGACTGCATCAGCCAGCGCCTCAACGTATGCAGCGCGCATCGGTGCCTTCGAAAGAGGAAATGGTTCAGCTTTATGCCAAACTAAAATTAAAGCAGTAGCTTTAATTTTAATTGATCCTTTTGCCGACCAGTCTTTCGACTTTCCGTTTCTGTTCAGTATTTTAAAAGCTAATTATTCACCCTTTATTTCGGCATAATATGTATCAAATATAATGCTGATTTAGTTCTATG